AATTCCTTCTATTCCTATTCATATTACTCCTACTCATATTCATACTAAAACTAAAACTACTTCGTAATCAGGAGTTTCGGCATTATTATTTCGGGGGCCCTGAAAATCGAGATTGGTCAATCATGGGGAGGGGGAGGGGGGGGGTGGGGTGGTTATTTATTAATGCGAAGTAAACATTAGCCCTCACGACCCTAAACCCTAAACCCTAGACTTCACAACCACAAGAGGACTCCCTCTTGTGGGAATATTGGCGTGGTAGTTTCCTATAAATAGCAGGAACCAAAACAGACCCCAAAATACGATAACCCTGATCATAGGAACCCTAACAAAGTATCCCTAATTTTGCGCAATTTCATTTGTCCCATGACTCTTAGCCCTATAAATCAAAAACCATAAATGTAAACCCCTAAATCCTAGACCCTGAATCCTAAACCCTAAGCCCCAAATCTTAAATCCTAAGCCCTAAACCGCGACCCAGCTTCAGCTTGGTGGGGAAGCTCGACATCAATGTAACATGGCTCCGGGCATACCTCTCCACAAATGAAGCTCATGAAGGCTTTTAGGGTTAGGGTTCGGGCTTACGCAGGGAGAGTGGGGGAATGGATCTCTGTAAACATGCCGATGCTCCTAAACCCTAATGGGCCATGAGCCAATTAAACGCTAAACCTAAAACCCTATAAAAGCCCCATATGAGCTATAGTTTAAACTCCTAGTATCCCCCTTGACCCTACAGTAGTCCCCTAGAGAACACCCCTTAAGGAGTTAAGACCCTAAACCCTACATCCCTAAGCCCTAAATCCTAAACCCCTTGAAGCTTACGTAAGCTCTTGGCAATTGAGTAGTGTTTTTTCGGGTGGTTGAACCTAGTAAGATTATATTCCTCATATAAAATACTATACCCCAAAAGGAGGATATAGTCTTACTCTATCATGGGTACCATAGTATCCCCAAATCAAATACTACTCAATTAGGTTTGCAAGGCAGGTTTTGAAGAGCTCAGGATGTTGCTCGAGGCTTTCTGAAAGCGTGGGTGTTTTGGGGTTTAGGATCGAGGATTTAAGGTTTAGGATTTAGGGTTTCGGATTGAGGGTTAGGATTTACAGTTTATGGTTTTCCGAAAGGGTCCAAATACCTGGTACTCAAGTTACTATTACTAAATTTCCAGCCACCTTTTGCTTCAATGTTCACATTGCTTTCCGACCTGCATGGTGCTAGCATACTAACCCGGTTTTGCCTAGTCATATGCAGGATCTTTAGCATCAATCGTATGACTCCAGCACGTATGCACGCTGTCGGCCTGAATACCCAGGCTCAACAATACAGAGGCAGATGAAGATGACTTGAAGAAGCCCCCCCATACCCAAACCTCCTATTGGGACTCAGTGGGCCCATATAGCGACCATTAGGGGATACTGGGGTCTATTCAGGGGCCGGGTTTTGGGGGGGGCTCCTTCATGGGGTCCCTGCTTAACCCCAGGAGATTATGCTGATGACAAAGATGGTGGTTGGGGCATAGTGGAGGAGGAGACGGTGAGTGGTTCGAAGCTCGTACTGTGGGTGACCGTCATACATGCGTAGACGAACAGACCACTGCATCACACATTGTATGGTATGAACCCAACTACTGATACATTAGCCCCTTAAACCCTGCTTTTTCCCTTCTGCGAATATCTAATTCATTAACTCTTCGGCCCGCAACCCCTCACCGCCCTCTCCCCTTAAAGCTCTCCTCCTACCTCCCCCTGGCCCCGACCCTCCCCAGCACAAAGCCCAAGCCCGAAACTGCCCCCCCCTCCTATTGACAATTCCAGTCTGGCGTGAGGAAGCTTATCCCTCCCCAACCCTAAACCGAAACCCTAAAATCCTTTGGCCTTAGCCCTCCGAGTGGTTACCCCCCTTTAAGGCTCCTATAAGATTCCCATACTTAAGGGTAATGGTCCGTGTACTAACCTGAAACCCTAAACCCTAAACCCCAAACCCTAAACACCCTAAATCCTCAATCCTAACAACCCACCCAAAGAGCGTCCTTTTCCCAAGCGCCAAGCCTAGAGAGGTGAGCGAGGACTGAGTGCAGCTCGTCGGTGGAGCAGTTCATCTCTTTGGAGGCCTCCTTCCTTCAGGGTTTAGGGTTTAGGGTTTAGGGTTTAAGGTTTAGGGTTTAGGGCTTAGGGTTTAGGGTTTAGGGTTCGGTTCAGGGTTTCGGTTGGGTACTGCCCCCACCCAGTAACAGTCTATAATGAGGGGTCCTACTAAGGGCTATATATTTTTAACCATATTATACTTATTGTCCAACTGTTACTGAGGAGGGGCAGTACCCAAGGTTTAGGGTTCAGGGTTGTGTGTCGGGTTCAAGGTTCAGGGTTGTGTTTAGGGTTTAGGGTTCAGGGTTGTGTGTAGGGTTTAGGGTTCAGGGTTGTGTGTAGGGTTCAGGGTTCAGGGTTGTGTTTAGAGTTTAGGGTTCAGGGTTGTGTTTAGGGTTTAAGGCTCGGTTTAGAGTTTAGTGTTCAGGGTTGTGGGTTCGTGTGTAGAGTTAGGCTTAGGGGGTTCGGTTTAAGGTTTAGGGTTGTGTTCAGGGTTTGGGGTAGGGATTAGGGTTCTGTTTGGGATTTAGGATTTAAGGTCTATAGGGTTGAGGGTCCTGTTTAGGGTCTAGGTTTTGGTTTAAGATTCATAGGGTCCTGCTTAGGGTTTAGGGTTCGGTTTAGGGTTTAGTGTTGGGCGTTCTTTCTAGGATTTGCGGTTGAGGGTTCTGTTCAGACTTTGGGCTTTAAGGTTTAGGGTTCGGTTTAGAGTTTAGGGTGTTATGCGCTGGCCCCCTTAGGCTTTCCCTTGAGCAGGCAAGCGTACGCAAAGTTAGGGCTCAATTAGGGGAATTGCCAAATACTAATACTGTCTGAGGCTACAACGAAAGAGAAGGGTTGATTAGGGCAAATTAAGGCTTATGAAGGGGGAATCTTGGGGCAGCGTAGGGGGAGTAAGAAGGGAACCCAAGATTCTTGGGGGTCTAAGTTGTACGCAGAGGGTCAGGGGGACTTCGTAAGTAGGTTACTAGTAGGGATAAGTGGATTCATTTTGTGCATATGGCATTCGGTGTTAGAAGTATACTTGCTCAGTGCACTTCAGCCTCCAAATAGGGGTTTCAGGTTTAGGAATTGGGTTTGGAGACTTTCCCGATTTGCTGCAATTGAACCCTCGAGCGGAACGGAAGGCTCATTTGGGTGGGTAGGACTGGTCTAGCAACATTAGCAATGTCCTTCCTGATCATAGAACCCCAAGGACGAACGGTGCAATCAGAAGCCAAGCGTCTCATCAATGGCAATGCTGTACGGTTGCCAGCTGCCTCAGAGCATCCGACAAGCCGATGCTTGTTTTTTTTTCTTTCTTTTTCTAACTTTTCCACCTGCACAAGAACTGTCCAAACATGAGGTCTTATGCATACCTGTACATGCATGTCCAGGTTTCGGGCATCAAATTTGCGTACATAACCTTGCAAATTGATGTGTCTAGTGGCACAGGAGGGAAAGAAAACAAGTATAGGAATGAAAACTAGAACAACTGTACAGATCAGATCGCAAGTCAGTATATGGCATATTTCACACATATTAATATTACAGAGACGGAAACTTGGGCATACCTTTTTTGAGGCATGCTGAACACTCTGTACGTCATCCCAAGGATAAGCATAAGATTTCATTTCAACATGTGGCTTTCCCGTAGTGGACGACAAAACACCATTTGGAGACTTCTCAAAAAATCGGGCGCTTGTATTCAGGATCCTTTTTCTTTGTGCTTTATACTAGCAAATGCAGGAAGGACCCATGTTTTGAGAATTTAGTAAATGCTGGGATGGCTCTTAAAGGCTTACCCCATCAGCATGTTGATATGGGGGTTGTCCAATACTCCTTCATCTCGAATCGGGGGCTGGCGGCGTGCTTGCGCGGAGCTTTCGCGAG